AGTGAAGGTGGGTGCGAGTGAGTGTGGTTGAGAGTGAGTGAGTGTGATGCGTGAAAGTGAGAGTGGGTGTGCGTGTGAGTGCGAGTGCGAGTGTGAGTGAGAACGAGTGAGAGTCTGCGAGTGGGAGAGTGAGTGGGTGTGAGTGTGTGTGCGTGTGAGTGAGAGGGAGTCTGAGAGCACAAAGTACAAATCTGCACTGCGAGGTTCACTAAGCCCTGTGCTGCCTTCGAGGCTCACCAAGCGCTGCGCCTGCCACAAAATCTGCACGTCAAGGTCCACCAAGTGCTGCGCCTGCCACGAAATCTGTACCTGAGGTTCACCAAGCGCTGCACCTGCCACGAAATCTGCACATCGAGGGTCACAGAGTGCCGTGCCTGCCACGAAATCTGCACTTCCAGGCTCACCAAATGCTGCACCTGCCACGAACTCTGCACTTCGAGGTTCACCAAGTGCTGCACCTGCCACGAAATCTGCACATCGAGGTTCACCAAGTGCTGCGCCTGCCACGAAATCTGCAAACGAGCCACATGTCCAAAAGTCACGATTCACTGCACCTGTCACGAAATCTGAGCTCCTCGACGATCACCACCATGTCCAAAGCGCTGCACCTGCCACGAATATTGCATTTTAAAGTAAGCAGCTCCGATCCCTTGCACCTGTCACGAAAAGTCGACCTTTGAGCACCAAAACACGAGGTTTCCCTTGCGCCTGCCACGAAAAGTCACCACCATGTGTGAAAATGCGCACGGCACCACAACGAGAGCGCAGTCGCTAGAAGCACCCACTGCGGCCACCCAGATCCTGCGAGCCTGCGCAGTCGAAGTGCACATGGACGATGTCGTGAGTCATGAACTGTAAATAGCAACGAATTAGCCGTTCACGCCCGCGCGCTTCAGCGATCTAACTAAGCATCAGCTGCTTTTCACCTACCACAAGAACCCCTCAGTGTGCCCACACTGTTTGGGGAAGAAAAAAGAACCCTGCTTGCACTATCGGAGCCTATTCTGTTTTGGAAGTGGCTCAGCCATTACCAGAACACCAGGCTCAACCAAGGCAAAGCAATAACAACACTGCTGTGCGCCTCCATTGGAGGCATTCCGGCCATGCACGGAGGCCTGCACAATTGAACAGCTGGAGAACAGAAATCAACCCCTCCCAAACCTCAAGCAGCTCATGAAGCAGCCTTTGACAAAGGTCTGGGAGATACAAGGGTGAAAGAGGACTCAGTCAAGAAGGATCACCCAGACAATCTCAACACAGCATTTGATGAACAAAGGGCCAAACAGCGTGTGATTGAAAAAAGAATCAGGTCTTTGAACAAGTGCATTACTACTACTAGCAAGGAGCTACTAGTAGTGTCCTTGCTACTAGTAGCGATGCACCTTGTACCTGTCTTATGGCTCGACCTGATACGACAACTTGTTTCAGCTCAGTTCCTCGGCCTCAGTCTCTGAACTGCTTCGTACTTCCGAGAGCTCCTCCAAAGCACCTGGGCACCAAAACGGAACACCTTTCTGCCAACGTTGCTTCTGATCCCTTTTTCAGCCCCCTTCTTCACTATATGCATTCAAGCTTCATGCTTCTTAGATTCTTAGATTCCATGTGTACAATAATTCCCGGAACTATTTCGAATTTCAAGGTATGTCTTGGAATGTTCACAGAATGTGTTCATGCAATCTGTGGCATCCGAGGTCATTTGTGACTCACAGGCCCACAGGCTTCTTTTGAGAAACTGGAATGTCAGCTCCCAAGCAGGGCTTCCAACTTTCCGGAGCCTCCGAAGCCTCAACCTCGGCGATGAGACACCGGTTGAATTCGATTGCCACTCCACTTGCACTCAGGAGAGGGCCGCTGGGGCAGTGGAAACTCCTGCAAACAACAACACAATTCTCATGAGGTTCTTGGAAGTCTAATTTGCATTGAATACAGCTCCCGACCTGCATCTGCTGATTCAGCAGATGTGCCACTCTTTTTTCCTCAAAATCACAAGCATCCGCTTCAGAACAAAGCTAATTGAGCTCCTAAAGGAATTCAATCCAAAGGCAAATATTGCTGAGGCTGCGTCGTCGCAGTTGGCCTTTAAGAAGCTTGGCAAACTCATCTTGCTCAACACACGTTTGAAAGCAAGCAATACGCCAAGCTTTCTTTGTTCCTTGTAGAAGCAAGTTGTACAGACTAGTCTGACTAGCAGTACAGGGTATCAAGGACCTTGTCAGCTAAATGAAGACCAAGTTACGCCGGCTGGCTCCGCGCTCAGAGCGGTCGGCGGCCGATTCAGCACCACCGTCACTGGGAGCGGCCGCTCGGTGACACGTAGACGACGGTGGACAGATCGCCCAACGGGGTCTACTAGACTTGAGGTGTCGTTCCGGTTTTATCAAATCAAGTGCTTAATAGAGAAACAACAATACCAAAAAAGGATTGTAAAAGGCCTCTCTAAGAAGCCCCCTTTTAATGGCCTAATGTTAAAAGTTAAAAGAGTTTTTTGTTCTTTTCAGCACTTCACTAATGTGATTGGCCTGAATTGGCTTTCCCAAAGAGGACGGTGTGATTGCAGTATCTCACCCACTACCAGGAGAATGCTCAACTTTGGAGTCAATGACATTCTAGGAAATGGGGAAGGTGGTTTTTCGGTATTGAAACCACGATGTTCGTCCAACCATTTGGTAAACCTTCATGGTCTCTGGTGTCTTTTCATGTTTGGTGTTTTAGCCAACGAGTGCTCCTCAAAAAATCTCCAATAAGATCTCCTGGTGGGCAGCATGCCTGGATGGGCTTAGCGACCGTGTCAAAGGAGTCCCAGTTTCCTGGCGCATTGACACGAGCATCCCAGCAGCATAAAGTCAGTGAAGAATTCAGTGAAGAACACGACTAAATTTGCCACACTTCGACTCTGTGAAGGCCAAAGACGCGGCAGAAGGACCGGTGTCTCTCCACCAGTCGGATCACGTCTTGGCTCAAGCTCGCCTGCAGCGGACTGGTACGTGTCCCTAAAAATGGATTGTCGCACCCCATGTAACCATCATATAGAAAATGCAAAGTCAACTCTTGAAGAACCGGCCTTGGATGTTTTCTTCCACATTGGCCTCTCGACACCTCGTGGGCAGCCAACTTCGAACCCTTTCTATTGCCTAATGTTTTTCAGTTGTTTTACACATTCATTCCCAAAAATTGTTTGAACACTCATACAACCACTAAAGAAATGATTTTCATTCACTGGCCACACATTTAAAGCGCAAATCTGTTCTATATGATGACATGTCTCAGCTTCGAACCCAATGGGTTTCATTCCCATGTTGTCCACCAAAGCCGCCTAAGCATTCCAAAGAATAACATAACATATGATTTGTCCACTTGGGACGCTGAGATGGGCACGGCAGACACCGTTGACATGACGGAGACCCTACACCCAAAGCTAATGTCTTATGACCTGTCAAAAAATAATTATGCGTATCAATTTTCCATTAAACTCCGATATTCCAAACAAAATCACGCCAAACCATGTGAGCAACGTTTCCCAAGATGTAGTGAAAACTTGCGCCGGTGATAGTGCTGTAAGTTGTGAACAAGTTACAGCGGGTTGTTTTTCACGCTAGAGAATTTTGAGCCACACATTCGAATGTACAAAACCTCAACACGCTGACCTTCAGGCACATAACAAAATCAACCTAAACAGAAAAACAAATACGTTCCTCACACTGATCCGCAGGATAACTCCAAGTAAACAAAGGCTTTGCTTTGCTTCGGAGCGATGGAAACCGCAGAAAAACCACAATTTGTCTACACGTGTTTGGTGTCATGTGAAAACGAAGCAGGCGCACACTTTTCTCTGTGGAAGTTGGGGTACGACGCACTTCTTGCCCCAATCAAATTGCGCCGGAACCCAACTGGGTTTTTGCACTTTGCAACGAAATCAAAGAAGGTCTTGCAAGCATCGTTTGAAACACAAGTCTCACTCTCTAAGAGAGGATGTGACTCAAATCGAGATGGAGGGTCAGCTATATTGGCTTCAGTCGGAACACGTGCAAACCAAAGGTTGGTTGGGTGATGGGTCTCAAAGGACAGGAGTTCACGCATCAAAGTTTGGCCCACGACACCCTGTGCAGCACCCTTGATTGGAGCGAAACGAACAGCTTCATTGTCTCCACAGCAAACTGTGTAACTGTCAGTTACTAAGCCTTGCCAGAAACAAATCGAGAAAACCGCTGCCAACATTTCCAACTCATAAATAATGGTGTCTTTGTCTTGCGCACCAAACAGTCCACAGATGACGGTGTCGAGGAAGATTCCAAACCAAGCTACGCATGTTCCGTAGGAATTGACAAGGACTGCACCCATGCCCCCAGTTTGTGTGTCTGGCTCGTAAGCCGCGTCCGTGAACAAGAAAAACTGGTCCAAGGTCTCGGAATTCACTTCTCGGGGCTTGGTGCTCTCCAGCCTGCTCTTCATCCAACTTAGGGCGTCTACCATTGAGTCATTCATGGACGGTTGTGCGCCGTAAGCATGCTCTATCAATCTGCTCAACACCCAGCGGCCTAGGCGGCCATGCATGAAGCTATCTGCAAATCCCAAGCGTCCTCGCAAAACCAAGGCCTCATGTCGGGAGAGCTTCCGAGCACTAATCACTTGTTCCAGGTGCACGATGAGCTCCTTTCGGCGCTGCTCTGTGTTTCCAATCAAAAGCCGGCCGTCTGCCGAATGTTGCAGACTAAACTCTACCCCCAGGGCCTGACATAGCTCTGAGAATTCGGTGGCTTTCTTCCCTTCACGAGCAAACTCCCAGCCAGTCAAAAGAAAAACCAACTCCATCCCGTGCTGTGCAGATTTGATATTGTGGCTCCTTGAAACCAGAATGAAGTCATCATAGAAGTTGGTATTCAGCAGAGACAGACCTCGAGCTGCAATGCTGCGCAGGGCTCTGGACAACCTTAAACACTGTGTGTTGCACCAAAAGGAAGTGTCTGCATGCGATAGATCTCCGGCTTGTTCAGCTCATGGTTGTAAATGCAAAAGTAAGCAAATTTCAGATGTTCGGTCTTGACCGGGACTTGGCGGTAAGCACTTTTCAGGTCATAGGTCTTGGCCAACAAAACCGAGCTGGTGCCCATCGCTTTGCTTCTTTTGAAAAACTCTCGCACCAAAGCAGCAAAAGTGTCAATCATGTGGAGGTCTATCTTGTTGTGAGTTGTTGTGCAGTCATTAATGCCACTGCCCAAATAATCGTCAAGCGTTCGAATTTTGCTTCCCTGCCTCAGAGGGAATCTGCACGAGATCACTGCACCAGGTTCCAGTTGCGAGGGCTCAAAAGGCCCCTCGGCCCAACCCTTGTCCAGCTCAAGCCTGGTCTCCTCCAAAAGCTTCTGACCCAACTCTAGGTCACCACACGACGTGGTCATCTTCAGGATGGCTTGGTTGCGCTTGCTGGCGCCGGCGGCCAGTTGCCTCACGGTGGACATGCAGGGCTTGTACAAGGACTTGAACACCGGGCATGCTCAATTTCGACTACGGCCAAATCCTCATATCCAATATCTTTCAAGATTTCTGCGGTCAACAAGAGCCTCTTGGATGAAGTATTCTGCCGGATATGTAAGGGTCTCTGTGCCCAATCCTGCTTCTCCTCATTGTCCAATTCTGACGCACGCTTCAACCATTTTCTGCACCACCACATGCGGTGATCCGCCAGCTGCTGTTCAGTCATATTTAAGTGGTTCTCCAGAGCGACTTCTAGATCTTTGGAGAGGCTGAAGTCTGGGTGTCCTGTCGAGCAGGCTCGCTCAATGAATTCCTCACAGCTCCAAGGCAGTCCAAAAACTACTCCAAACCCTGTTTCACCGGCATCTCTCTGTCTTTTGCCACAAGATTTGGGATCTTCATGACTCATCGTCCCCTGCCCATCCCCCTTGGTGACCGGGGACGTGAGGGGATAGGAACGCAAAAACCGCGCAGCGGCCGGAATTTCGGCCGGTTGGCCGTCTAGAATGAGGACAGAAAGCGAAGTCTTCAACTTGTTCAGCAAACCGCATGGAATTGCGGACAGGGAGGTCACGCAAAAAACGGCTGTGGATGAAAAATCTGGAACCAAATGCGGAACCTTGGAACCTCTGGGCTGTTTGCCAACCGCAATCTGTGCAGTCTGGGCCAACTTCAAGGGGTGCTGTTGAATCTGCAGCAAATGGGTTGGTTTCCATTGTACGCAACCTAGAGTCAGTGGCAGCTGTGTGTATGGGCCATCGCTATCGCCGGCTGACCAACCAGCCTCCATGAACTAGCCATGCTCTTGTCGCTCACCTCAAATCCCTGTGAGCGTTGGGCTGAACTTGGACTCGGCCGAGCGGCTGTTCTGTACCGCCGAACGCAAATTGTCCTGTCCGCAGCAAGGCTGTTGCCAGCACATCGCAGGTTTCCCCACTTGTCTTTCCTCAGTGGCTTATGGTGGAAGCTTTTGTCCATCCAGCCAGCGCGAATCCTTGCCTGTCTCCCCTTCATGCAGCGCTTCGGTAAAGGCAATAAAGGAAGCAGCCTTTACACACCTAGGTCGTTCATGATTGAGGGTTTCAGTGCAGGGAGTTACGCAGGTGCAGTTATTGCACTGGCGGCACGCCAGCTCTTCCCAACATGTCGAGTTACGGTTAGGCTAGGTGCCATTGCTATGCCCCGAGGAGTCTTTGCTGCATTACTGGCCATTGGGGGAAGGAGTTAACGCGGCGTGTCGCCGCTGCTGAGCCAGGCGTGCGCAACGTCCACCTCATCCATGCCGAGGAAGATACCCTGTGTGACTGGCATCCAAGCCTAGTCGACCTATATGTTTTACAACACCGAATCAACTGCACGGTCATCACTGAAGCTGCCAAATGGATGGGCGCCAGCAAGCACCAATACTGGCATTGGCTCCACTGCCCGCTTCCAGTCGGCCGCTTTCGACTAACAGACCTCAAATTCATCCTGACATCATTCCCCTTCGTGACCGGATGGCAGCTCCCCTACGCCTTGCTTCGTGGATTCGCTTTGAGACAGTCATGCATCGCAAGGACTGGATGGCAGCCATTGAAACGCTGGTCCCAAACATTCACCAGTCGGACGAGCACTTGCTTACCCTCCTGAGGCGATGCGTACCAGATCAAGGTATTGCTTCTATGGCTGAGGCCCAAGCCCTTTTACTCCGCAACCTTCGAGTAGGCAAAGGAGGGGATGACAGCTGTGCTGTCTGGCTCACGGAAATGACCCGTGCCCTACTGGCTCCTATTCCGTTCCGAGAAGTCTCAGTCTTTGTCATTTTGGCTCTTTTTCTTCCGCAGCTCACCTTTGCTGAAGGGGCCACCGCTCATCGCCTGAGGTCCAGTCCAGAAGTACAACGCAACGAGAAGAACTTCCAAGAAAACACAAAGACCAACACAAACCCACAAAACGCAACCTTATAACATTGTAGTCCCGGCGCTTCTTCAAGCGGGGTGCTCCACACTTGCGCCAAGGCATTCCAAGTATTCTTCGCGCTCAACCATTCTTAACAAGGCTTGGGCGTGGGTTTGGCCATTGATGTGTCCAAAGAAAAATTGCATTTTCGGGTGAATTTGTGGCCTTCATTTTGGGGTCCAAAAACACTAGCAAAAACGGTCTCGCCACGGAGGGCCTCCCCAGGAGCAGCTGGCTACAGCCTCCAAAGGCTTTGTGCGCAATGTATCTCAGTTTATCAGGAAGGTCGATACTAGCAAGGGCAAGGCAGCCTGTAAATGCTTCTGCTTGTGTTTCCTGCAAGGTGGGCGGGAGGCAAATGTCCACCAGGCTCACACAATGCAAGAAAGTGTGCACGTTAAGGAATTTCAGTGTTGTGAGGGAGATATCCACCTTGACCAGCTGTTTACAATTTTCATACGCTCTATGCCCAACATAGTTGGCATCTGCCAGCAAGGTTACACACTGAATCCCTGAGGAATGGTACCTCTAGTGGCAGTTTGCGCCAAAACAGTGCGCCTGTGCAGTCATGGCATTAATCAAGCACCAGCAGTGAACAATGATGGACAAAGACAGCCACTCCTGCTAAGCTAGACAGGGCGGTGACCTCAGGGACTGTCCCCATTAGCCCATCACGCTCAAGACCCCCACTTCTGCACCTATCATGCAACGTTGGCATGTCAGAGGAGGTGTCTGGGTGCCCGGAAATTTTGCTCAAAGCAAAGCTGCCAAGCAAGCCGAGCGAATGCTGACAGGGTCTCACCTTCGAACTTGTGACAAGATGACCTGTGCACCTCTGCACACATGGCGTCTCCGTGCAAAAAAACACCAAGTACTGGCCGGCAACCATAGGGCGGTGCCTCATGGTCACAATTTGCGACTCAGAGCGGTGAGAAGCCTCACTCGCCATCAACTGCACCAACCTGTTCCAAAGGTGCCAAAACTGTGACGAGCGCAAAGCCTCCTTGAAATGCGGATTTTTGT